ATATATATATATATATATATATATATATATATATATATATATATATTGATGGATAAAAATTATAATTAATTAAATATATACATTTATATAATACATTATATTTATTAAATAAATATAAATATTATATAATGTGCAAAGGGTATTTTTGGTATTTGTGATATAAAAGCTATTCCGCCCCCTAGGAATGGCTATTCCCCTTGCGAAGGTAATAGCTCATTCCTAGGCATGTTATTCCAATGACAAAATGATCCAACCAAACGATGGAATAGGTCTATTTCAAGGAATGTTATTCCATTCCTGACCTATTCCATGAACCAAACATGCCATTAATGTGATTGGCACTAATCAAAGAGGTGGAGGATTTGGTAGAGGTCGTGGAAGAGGAAGAGGAGGTTCTAGTGGAAGAGGTCATGGTAACTTCAACCAAGGAGGAAGACGTGGTAACTCCAACCAAGGAAGAGGGGGAGGTAATATCAAACAAGGTAAATTTCCATTTCATTGCTACAATTGTGGCAAGTATGGTCACAAGATTGCAGATTGCTGGTATAATGAGGACAATCGTGGAAATCAAGCAAACATTGCTGAAAATATTGCTGAAAATTCTGGTGAGAGTTCTGAAACATTACTTTTGGCCAGCAATAGTTTTTCTGCAGATAAGAACATATGGTTCTTGGATACTGGGTGTAGTAATCATATGTCTGGGAAGAAAGAATTGTTTTTCTGAACTGGATGAATCAGTCCAGTCTGAAGTGACATTTGGCAATAAGTCAAAGGTGCCAATTTTGGGAAAAGGTAAAATCTCTATTTAGTTGAAGGATGGAACTCACAATTTTATATCCGATGTGTTCTATGTTCCTGAACCACACCAAAATTTGTCGAGTATGGGACAATTGTCAAGAAAATGATATAAGATAAATATTACTCAAGGGTGTTGTACCATTGCAGATGCTAAAGGAGTTTTGATTGCAAAGGTAAATATGTCTCAAAATCAACTATTTCCTTTGAAAATTAAGCATACACTTCTTGCTTGTTTTAATTCTGAAGTTTGTGATAATAATTGATTATGGCATATGCGATTTGGACATTTCTATTTCTCTGGATTACACTATCTTGCGAGAAAAGAACTTGTTTCTGATTTACCTGTTGTGAAAGTCCCTGATCATATCTGTGAGATTTGTATGATTGGGAAGAAGCATAGAGATCCCTTTCCCGTGGGCAAGTCAAGGAGAGCCACAAAATAGTTGGAGATTGTTCACTCAGACCTGTGTTCGTTGGAGGTTCCCTCACATGGAGGTTGTAAGTACTTTATTACTTTCATTGATGATTTCAGTAGGAAAACATGGGTTTACTTCCTGAAGCAAAAGTCTGAAGCATGTGATGTTTTCAAACAATTTAAGGCTTTTGTTGAAAAGCAAAGTGGTTATGAAATTAAAATCTTGAGAACTGATAGAGGTACAGATAAAATCTTACATGTGCTTGCTATGTGTTATGTGTGCATGATACCCCAATTGGTTGCGATCAATTGGCTATACGGGCAGTTGGATGGGTTGAGAACCATCGGCTGTTAACCAGGCCGGTTGCGATCGGTCAGGTATATAAATATTATATAGGGCTGCGGTCCACCGTTTGGTTGCGATCAAACGTTATAAATGAGCTGCGGTACATAATCTGGTTGCGATCAGAAATACACACTATTTGGGCTGCAGTCCACCGTTTGGTTGCGATCAAACGTTATGATGAGCTGCGGTTCATCGGTTGGTTGCGATCAACCCCTTCGTGCTGTGGTGCGAGACAGGGTGCTTCGGGACCGTGTTAGCGCTATATGCGCTGACCCTCATGTATGGGACTGATATGTTGAGATAATGATTGAATACTGATATGATGATCATGTGAACTTAGGGTGTATGCTAGTATCTTTATATGCATGATTATAACTGATAAATGTGATTGTCCTTGCTTGTTGAGTCTATTCTCGATTTTAAATTAGAGTCTCCTAAGTATATATATCTTCCGGCTTCAAAATGGTTTTCCTATATATATATATATATATATATATATATATATATATATATATATATATATATATATATATATATATATACCTATATTGTATTTTAACGCGTTAGAGTGGGTTACCAGCATTATTCGCTGAACAAATATATTTGGCTTTCAGGCACAAATGAGTAGCTCCGAAGCGCGCTAGAGGACCCGAGGCTTAGATAGTTAGTTTCCTTATCAGCCTGCGTGCATGATGAGGTAATGACACTGTTTTGAGGATATTTTGTTAGTGTAGCCTGTGCATCTGAGTTCTCCAGCTCAGATGTGGCATAACACCCCAAACACTTATGTTTAGTAACGCTCTGTTTTGGGATTAATGATAATATTGCCTTTATTTCATAAGTATTCAAAGTTTTAAATTTTAGGGGTGTTACAATTATTCTCTCTTACACCATAGGGATATTATAAAACCCAACTAGGGTTACTCTCCTTGCATGAATTG